TTTCTGAGAAAGAACCGAAGGTAAAAAAAAAAAAAAATCGCCTGCATTTCGACGCTTTTTGGACGTTTAGAAAAAAAAGAAAAAGAAGATGACTGAAAATCAAAAGTAGAAGAAGCAGAACATACATGTGATGTTGAAGAAGAAGAAGAAGAACAAACCTTGGAACTTGAGATAATTTCATAAATCTGAAGTTGATGAAGAACAGAAGAAGAAACCGCTGCTCTTGTTGAAGGAAAACCTAGTCTCGCTGATGTTTCTGGACTCCAGACAGTGTTTACGGTTTAAAATAGGGCTTGGGTTAATTTGAACAAAGGAGCGGTCACTTCTCTCGCTTCACCGATTCTCGCTTTTTACAGAGAAGCGATCGCTTTTTCGTACCAAAGTCGCTTCACAGCCCTGAAGCGCTGACTTGCCCGACTCGCTTCGCTTCTTGCTTAAAGCGATGAAGCGAGCGCTTTTTTAATCACTGTTCAGGTTAGCCGAGGCGCGAGAAAGGAAGGCGCGTGACTTGGACCAAGTGAAGTGCATCCACGACGAAGAAGGTAGAGTTTTGTTGGATGAGGGGCTTATCTGTCGGAGATGGCAGACCTACTTCTATAGTCTCTTGAACAAGGAAGGGGACAAAAGCACTGTACTGGGTGGTTTGGAACTTTCCGGGAGTCGTGGCTTTGGATATTGTAGGCGGATTAGAGTTGATGAAGTCGAGGAGACTATGCGTAAGATGAGCAGGGACAAAGCGACCGGGCCGGATGAGATCCCGGTGAAGTTTCGGAAGAGTGCGGACAACGCAAGCTTGGAGTGGCTCAATAGGTTATTTAATGTCATTTTTTGAACGAAGAAGATGTCCGAAGAATGGAAGTGGAGTACTGAGTACGATGGTTCCTGTATACAAGAACAAGGGTGATATCCAAAATTGCAATAACTATCGGGTATCAAGCTGCTTAGACATACTATGAAAGTATGGGACAGAGTGGTAAAGCTAAGGGTGAGGAGGAGTGTGTCTATTTCTAAGAACCAGTTTAGGTTTATGCCGGGACGTTCGACTACAGAAACCATCCACCTTGTTAGGAGATTGATGGAGCAATATAGGGAGAGAAAGGACTTGCATATGGTGTTCATCGACTTAGAAAAGGCGTATGATAAAGTTCTGATGGAGGTTTTGTGGAGATGTTTGGAGGCTAGAGGTGTACTTGTTGCTTACGTTGGTTTGATTAAGGACATGAATGATGGAATAAAGACCCGAGTGAGGACGATGGGTGGAGACTCGGACCATTTTCCGATTATGATGGGGTTGCATCAGGGGTCAGCACTCAACCCTTTTTTGTTTGCTCTGGTGATGGACGTACTGACGTGTCACATCCAAGGGGAGGTGTCGTGATGCATGCTATTTTCAGAAGATATTGTATTGATTGACGAGACGCGAGATGGTGTAAACGCGCAATTAGAGGTATGGAGGCGGACCCTAGAGTCTAAAGGTTTCAAGTTGAGCAGGACCAACACAAAATACTTGGAGTGTAAGTTCAGTGGCGAGACTCAAGGAGGGGAAGGGGAGGTGAGGCTGGACTCACAGGTCATCACTAGGAGAGGAAGTTTTAAGTACCTTGGGTCTATTATTTAGGGGGATGAGGAGATTCATGAAGATGTCACACATTGTATTGCGGCGGGATGGATGAAATGGAGACTCGCTTCCGATTTTTTGTGTGATAAGAAGGTGTCACCGAAACTTAAAAGTAAATTCTACAGAGTGATGGTCAAACCAACAATGTTGTATGGGGCTGAGTGTTGGCCAGTCAAGATCGCTCATGTCTAGAAGATGAAGGTAGCAGAGATGAGGATATTGAAATGGATGTGCGGGCACACCAGGTTAGATAGGATCAGAAATGAGGTTATTCGCGACAAGGTGAGTGTGGCCCCTATTGAGGACAAGATGCGGGAAGCGCGACTTAGGTGGTTTGGTCATGTGAGGAGGAGCACAGATGCCCGGGTGAGGAGGTGTGAGAGGTTGACATTGGAGGGCTTACGGAGAGGTAGAGGCAGGCCAAAGAAGAGGTGGGAAGAGGTGATTAGGCTAGATATGGCACAGGCTCAGCTGACCAGGGACATGACCCTTGATAGGAAGGTATGTAGGTCGAGGATTAGGGTAGTAGAGTAGGTAGCCTAGAGTATTCACAACAGTAGCATTGGCATGCAGTCTCGCTTTTTGTGGGTAGTAGGTTTTATGACTAACTGTTGCTTTCTTTCATTGTTGATCACCTTACTATCTTGTTGTTTTTATTCTGCTTTAATATGGTTTTTTGGTATTGTCCCTTCTTGTCTATATTTTCATTAATGTGGTGCTTATGCTTTCCTGAGCAGAGGGTTTATTGGAAACAGCCTCTCTATCCTCACAAGGTAGGGTAAGGTCTGCATACACACTATAACCCAGACCCCACAGTGTAGGATAATACTGGTATGTTGTTGTTGTTGTAAATGAAAATGGCAGATAGTTAATCTGAAGGCTGAGTGAAGATCAGCCAATTGAAGGAAATGCCTGAATTTTAGATTTCGCGAATTAATGAGATAAGAGCTTTTGTCGTTATAGAACACGGAACTCAATGGAAGCAATGATAATAATAGGAAAGGAAAGAGACAAAATGCAATAAAATAGAAGAGAAAAGTCATACAAAGTTATATACAGATCACTCCCCTTTATTGAATTTCCTTAATTGAATTTCGGTTGATTAGGACGCAGTTCCTTAAAAACCTCCGCCGACAGTTCTCTTATAACTGATACATTAAGCATTTACTTCAATATTACATTCTTTTCTTCCCTTTTCAGGAAAAAGGCATCAAATATGAAATCAACTGTGTTACATGGATTTGCTGGATACAGGCAAGTACAGGTACGCAGATGAGGTAGTTGTTAGATTTTCGCAAACTGTTACTGTATTTTGATGAATATGCACAAAGAAACCACACCCATGTCACACCCACCTGACACAAGTACATCTACAAGATGAAGGATCCATGAAACATATCAAGAAACAATCACAATTAATCTAAATTGTTGATTCAAACAAGTGCAATCAATCTAAAAGTTAATCAAAGTTGAAGAAAAGGAGGAAAAACACTTTTCTGAACTTTTCTAATAGAACTTCTAAGAGACATTGAGAAAGAGACAAAAGGGGTTAGAGAAATGGAGGAAGGAGATAATAGAGTGGGGAGGGAATGAGTATCAGAAAGAAAAAGAAGGGAGAAGGAGTAAGGATGGTATATAAGAGGAGATTTAGGAGTAGGGAGAGAGTTGGTGCAATGGGAGAGGAGAGGGAGGGGTGAGGGTAAAGAGGTTGTCCATGGAAGTTAAAATCATTGCATGGAACGTGAAGGGGATGAATGACCCTAACAAAGGGGCCATCATCAAGGTGAGAGTTAGAGAATGGGGCCGGATATATTGTGTCGTCAAGAAACTAAAATGAAGGTTATGACAGATAAGGTTGTGAGAAAGTGTATGGGGGGACAATGGGTGAAGTATGATGGTTACCAGCACTAGGGAGTGCAGGAGGTAAGTAAGGGAGAGTTCATCATAGCAATATGGATAAAAAATTTGGAGGGTGGTGAAGAATGGGGCTTCAGGCGGCGCACGCAAGGGGGGAGGGTGGGGTTCAAAGGATATAGGAGGGGATTTCAACACAATTAGATTCCGGAGGAAAGGGTGGTGTCTAGGGCAATGAAAGAGTTTTCAGAGTTCATTAATGATCACTGCCTTATAGATCTTCCATTGACAGGAGCAAGGTTCGCATAGTATAGAGCTCAGGATTCTAATGCAAAATCTAGACGGGATAGATTCTTTGTGTCTAATAATTGGGAGGAGCTGGTGCAAGATGTGATGCAAGTTCCATTGCACAAATTGACTTCGGACACTCGCCATAGGAGGAATTTGTGCGATCCTTTCAGATTCGAGAATATGTGGCTTAAGGCGACGAAATTCGAATATAGAGTAAATGAGTGGTGGAATAGGTACGATGTTACAGGTATACCATCTTTCCGTCTTGAAAAGAAGTTGAAAATACCAGCCTATTTGTATAAATGATTTGAGTTTCTTTTTGAGAACCATATTTTGGTTTAGGTTCTCTTTTTTTTGTTATACTGATTGTATATGAGGTTCTCCCCTACCTTAAATGAAATTATTTACCTAATAAAAATAAGAGGAATACAAATGGAGGAAATTAAAATTTTCCATTTTCCTCCATGCTGGTTAAAAGCCAAGAGGAAGCAGATCTACCAACAAGAAAGTCTCAACAGCTACGTACAAAATGGGATAAGTACAGTAACTGACCAAATGGGAAAGATACCTGGAAATATTTTCTGAAGATAGAACAGTGTGGATATGCCATCTTCATTTTCCACTCGCAGATCAGAGGAACTATATAGTACTGTCTCACTATAGTAAGGGGTGAAGACACTGTTGCCAACATATACGCATATAAGGAAAAATCCAGATTCTGTTCTTATGTCAGAAAATTCAACTAAAAGACTAGGTGACAGCAGCAAAATACCAGAATGGCATCATCTCACTAACTGGCTTTGCTGGTGGCATGTCCATAAACAAAGAATTTGTAAAGAACTCCAATCTTCTTCTTGCTTCGAGATTCTTAGGAATGTTAGCAGCCGAATCCTTCACAGTAAGAAGTAAATGCAGCCTTTTCACCTGCTCCTTCTGTAAGAAAAAACAGAGATTTATCAGTTTAGCATATCAACAAAGGAGACGAGAGAGAGAAAAATAGGGGTTAAGGAAAGATTCTGTAAAATAGCATGACAGATCAGCAAAAAAATCAATAAAAGCACAGGACTCATACAATTTCAGGATCTCTAGGCCACTCCACCCTAGAAAAGAGTCGCCCCTCATTCCTTGCCCTAGCCAATATATTCCAAGTATCAAGCTGCTCCCTGCCCAGATAAAGAACATAGTTAACTCTCAAAACAACCCAAACAAAGAACCAACTGAAGTTTGAGCAAAATGATCATGCAAAGGATTCACCTTAAATCAGATGACAACAGATCATGGGTAACAACCTCATACAGATCATACATAGCTTTGGCAGCACCCTTTGAAAGTTCAGGAGTTTCATTGCGAATCTGCAATGGTAAAAAATACAAGAGACCTGAGTGACATGATATCATAAAAGCACAAGATGTGTTGAAAATAAGTACTACTAAGACAAATAACGTGAAATCCTAAGAGTGGGCAGCCTAATACATAATTTATTAAAAACAATCTCAGAGATAAATAACATGATACAGCAAGAGTATCAAACTTAGTAAATAAACTGTAGTCAGAGTAAAAACACAGAGCAGGTGTTAAACATAAATCATCTGTGTGATGCAGTCAGTGAAACACTAGAAACAAACTTTAAGGGAAGCCTGTGACTTGGAAACCCGCTAGATGTGCTCCAGAAGATTTAGTTGATTTCAACATTTCAGACTTGACGTCCAGGCTAATTTTCTCTTTCTCTCATTTATGATCCCGGTATGGGTTTTCATTGAATGCTATATCCCCTGAAATATGCTCCCTCTGACCCAATTTGGTAGCCCACTTTTGGTTTGGTAGAATTACTACGACAGCAAATTAAAACATGAGCTGTTTACTATGTGCTGATAAACACGCAGGACCACATTTTTAACTAATGTTGTAGAAATGCCAGTGGTGCGAATAATTATATGAACTAAGATTGCTTCAGAATGACAGATTGGAAAAGTGAACGAGTTTACAGGTATATCAATCTGAAGATAATTCTTAAGTTACTGTGATTGTTAAATTTTGTAGCTGTTATATCCACTGACTTCGAGCGCAAGCTCAAGCCTCTTGCTTGTCACATTGACTTGACCTCAGGCTAAGAAAGTTATTTGTTTAATCAGGCCAAGCTTGGATAGAAAGAAGCTGAGTCAAGCAAAGTTCCCACGGCTCAGCTCATTAACACCCTTAATTCAAGCCACAAACACTAGATGTTTCAAATTGCAATGTTTTGGTATGAAAAAATCACTGTAAAACAGAACACGCATACCATTACTTTAACCGGCATTGGCTAATTCCCAAACACAGAACAAAAGTCTGTTCTAACTTCCTATAATATAAGAGTGATCTAGAAAATATTAGGATCTCTACCCCTACAACAGGAAGATTCAAACTGTCCATCCACTTCCATGAACACAAGATGCAATTATTGCAGTAAATAGATGTAGTAATACACATAGGTAGTTGAGTTACCAAATGGACTGCTTAACAAACTCAACACTACCGATAGAGCAAGGCAAAGTTTTCTGGATTACATTGTTATCATCACTATAATATCTTTTTTTTATCAAAAAAAATAAATAGAATAAGGCAGAAATGTTACCAAAAGTCCAGTCAATGCTGTAAATCTTGATAGCACAACTGGAAGTTTCTTCAGTGATAAGGTTATGACTAGTGAACCCTCCATTATGCTACTGTTGACCTCTCGATATATTCTTTCAACCCTAACATCAAGAGAAACATGAATATTGACCACTTCAGAGCAAGAATGCTCAAACCAAACTATATGGAACAAGAAAAACAATCTAGACTCTTGTTTGTCAGGGGTAAAAAGGCATACCAAAGTCTTCCCTCTCCATCAACCAGAGAGTATAAGATCTTTTCAATACTGTAATAGCACTCCTGGACAGCATAGGCCATGTACTCATCCCTGCATATTCTGGTCCAAAGATCTCCTTGTGTATCTTTGCAATCCAAAGCCAAATCAATAGCCAACAAGATCTGTAAAAGTTGTTCCATTTACTAACAGTGTGTATGCTTTCCAACATAAAAAATTATAGGCAAAATTCAGCCGGGAGCACCTTACTGCAAAGGAGAAACAGAGGCCATTGTACAAGTCGTAGACTTCCCGTGTTACTCGGCATTGAAAGTAAATCCATCTCCCTAGGGGAAATCAGTGCATTGAAACATTAAAGTAAATATTTGAGAATGAAAAGCAGAAGATTTGAATACAGAAATGGACCAGTGCCAAAATGGGTCATAAGAATCACACAGTTACCTGTTACTGACGTAATCCTCTTCACGCAAACTTTTGATAATCTCATTCCAAAATGGTGAAAAGAGAGCTGCATCTGTTTTGTTGTTATCTTGAGAGGTCTGCAAAATTGAAGAAAATATTAACCATAGACGTAAAAATGGAAGAATATACTTTAAAAATGGACGAACATATTAACTATAGACATGCAGAAAACTCTACCTCGCAGTGTTGGACTAAGAAATAGTCATGATTCCTTAATAATATCACACCCATACCAAGGAAAAGCACCGAAGGACAAACGGAACCACAACAAAACTAGTATATTGATAATCCTTAAGGATCAGAATGAACATTCAAGCACATAAGTTTGAATGGACACAGAAACCATGTCGTGAGAGAGAGAGAGAGAGACTTCACGGACATCTTTAATAATCTATATCTTTTTTTGTCATTTTACTAACTCCCAAATATAGTGACAACAAAAGTATTTGTGGAATAAAGCTTACAGTACAGCATAAACATTCACACTATGTTGCCATCCTAACACTTTTACAGCATGTCTTACTTGAAATCAAGTTATTCTACTTCTCAACTGGAAGCCCTTGACAACATCTAAACCACCACAATCCACTGCAGGCAGTTCACCGCCAAACTGTCCCACATTATCCAGAGTTGAACCGTAATTTCTCACTATGCAAAGTAATAAAGTACTTTATTTATAACCTATGTTGCCGCGCCCGCGACGGATCCTCCAAAAATACACTACTTTTGGAGGATCCAACATGCACCCGACGAAATTTTCGGAAAGTCCGAGCAACATAGTTTATATCCAAGGAATCGCCAGGGGCCAATGGCACTTGTTCGAAACTCCATGGATAATGGGTCAGTCCCTCTACCCTTCTCCACTTAAGAACTAGGGTTTTGTCTACGGCAAGATTCAAACACATGACGTGCACCTAACCCACACATCACCATCTGAGCTCTTGCACTAGACCAAACCCCTGGATGTCAATAAGTCCAGTTCTACATCAGATAAAGTACTTCTATCCACTTCCTTGTCAAGGGTTCATTTGGATGAGTGACTTGATAGGAGGAATTCTAATCCAACAACAACAACAACAACCCAGTAAAATCCCACAAGTGCGGTCTGGGAGGGTAGTGTGTACGCAGACCTTACCTCTACCCTGAGGGGGTAGAGAGGAGGAATTCTAATCCCTTTGACTTTAACTGTATGAGGAGAATAAAGTGTAGATTAAATTTTATCTCATGTTTGATATGAAGCATTACATAATACATAAGGTATAAACATCCAGATTAATTCTTCCTTTCAAATATGACCTTAGTCAGTCACTCAATCTTACATAACCTCATTGGAAAAAAACTCGGAAAATTTTCATTATATTAGAAGAATATTTAATCATTTCATACCCCAAAAAACTAACCTCCCCCTCCCCCCCACGACAAAAGTGTGAGGGTTCTCTGGATAACTTCCCCTATCCAATTACATACCAAGCACGAAATGGATAAATTAACCATCCATTCTCATCCTCACAATACATATAAAACGAGCCCTAAAAGTACAGGGATGACAAAATGAAAAAAAATTGATCAACGTGCTAGCTCGCGAAAAGATATTTTAGAACTTAGGATGCTATTTGCTTGTCTACCGGAGCTACTCACAAGAAGTGGCCTAGTTGAAAGATGCTCCCAAAGTAACAAAGAGGAGACTTGGTTCTTGAAACTATCTGTTTTAAAGTGGCACGGCCACTATTGCTTCATACAGCTATTTAAGGTTATTTATTAAAAAATTTGGATAAGGATGTTGAAGGTTATCTATTAATATAAGAAGACGATAAAGGCTGTGGTGGAGCGGTAAGTACTCTTTCATCCATACCAGAAAAAAGACGATAAAGACCCTTATATTAATATCTGGTTGGTATTCAAATTTTCACAAGAATAGTAATTCGGCCATGGAAGATCAACATTTGGTACCAATATTGATCCATGCTGCTCTGCATATATCACTCAAACAATGCGGTACAGCTCAATGAGAACCAATAAAATAGTGATAGATATACACAATATTCACACAGCTAAAAGTAATAAAAGGAGCTTCAGTGGATTTTATCGTGAGGATTTCTGCCATAAAGGTCTATTAAAGGATACTTCTAGCTACAAAAATGAAATCATGATGTATCAACCCACATTTAATCACATTTTAAAATAAAATATTGATTATCTTAGCAATGAACAAAAACAGTAGTTCCCTGACTCTGATAATTTCAATTAAGCGAGCTAGACGGAAAGCAACTCCGAAGAAGACAGAATCAAGATGAGACTCACCTGTGATGATTGGCTGTCAATAGGTATCCTGTAAAAGCATAAAAGTAGACATGTTACAGGAATGCAGTATCAGAAGAGGATTTCAAAGAGCACACGGTTTATATAAATTGGTTAGAACACAGCTGTGCTGACTATCCATCACATAAGAGAGAAAAAAATCAGACCAAATGTTAAAAAATTTATTATAATTATAAGCAACATAATAGGTGTTGAACAATTGACTTTCTTGAAGGCCATCACCTTTTTGTCTGAGGTGACACAAGGTTCTTGACAAACGCTTCAGGAAAGCTCTCAAAACGTTTATGCACCATCTCAATTGAGCGTATCTGAGAAATTCAACATTTTAAAAGAAAATTTAACTTCAGGATACAGTTGCCTATAAAAGATGAACAGCATGCAACTAAATTGGCAAGAAGATGCACAAGAAGCATCATTTTTTTTCTTTTTTCACAAGCATCATGTTTCTCCAGGAAAATTAAGAGAATTAAAATTTGAAACTATACCTCCCCTAAGCGAGCCCGCGCTCCCATTACACCGCCAACAATAGCAGATAATAAAGTGTACCATATGTGAATATCCATGAGATAAATCTGGAAATGAAGGGTATTTAAGAGAGGAACCAACACCAAACCAATATAGACAAAGAAATACAAAAGCCAACAAGAACTTTAGTTTATGATACACGGCCATCACCTAAAAAGCCATAACAAAATTTGTAAAGGAAATATTACCAGCACTCTCAAAAGGGAATGACCGTTATTACTAGCAGCAGTTGGAGTTTGTAAAGTATAAAACTCAAATACGAACAAGAATGTTCCTAGCTGTAATAATCCCTGGGTGGAATAAAATAGTTTAATAGTTGCAAATCTGATGACTATTTCCTCCCTTTCCACTACCTCTTTTGCACATTATCATAACAATGACAGCAAACTCAGTATCTCGTATGGAGCTAGCTATATTTGAATGTAACATTTTCTTGAATGGAGTTGAGCTGGTAAGAGTCAACTGCTTTAACTGCATATACAAGCTTTTACATATATTAAGGAGGAGAGACGCAAGATTCTGCAGAGAATCTTCCTCATATCACAGAGTTAAATAAACATTTCAGAATACAAAGTGCAAAAAGAGAATAACTGAAGCATAGTGTTGCTCCATTATCAGAATTAGCTTAAAAACATTTCAGAAAGCCATTTCCAAAACTTAAACTATGTTAGTGAAATCAATAATGAATACTTACAGCTATAACAGGAGCCCACAAGCTAACAATTGTCAATACATTATTGTTCTCTGCCAAAAAAAAAAAAGATATAAGAGATCAATTTTCCCATCTTGACAAAAGAATCTTAGCACTCTCGTTGGAAAAAGAACACTAGACGTTCAATAACTATCTATAAGCCAAATAAGCAATTTGAAGATTCACCCAGAAAAAGGAGATCAGAAAAGGCATATAAAAGCATGCGCACGGAAAATATTGCATGCATAAACATGTATATGTACAAAGTTAGCAGAGGGCTTCTTTTCATCTCTTAAGTGGGGAAGGGATGAAGAGTAGGAGAAGACCATCTAACTAATGCCCATCAATAGAAAACAAATCATGAACAAGCCATGTTGTTCATTTAAACTTGGGTTTCCTCATTCTATAACCAGATCAATGCACAAAACTTAAAACTCTTAAAAACCTACAAAGTAAATGCATTCCAAGATTAATTACAGATCAGGACCGAGGAGGAATTCATCCCAAAAAATGAACATCATAGACTAGCAGAACAATAAACTTTCACAAACACTGAACCAAATTAGAGACCACCAAACACAGGTCGACAATATAATTTTAAAGGTTAGTTTCAGCTGGGAAGGGAAGTCATTTCAAAAAATTGGTTATTCCTTGGATCATTCTGCAGTACATAACCTCACTTTTCCAGGCAGCATTGCAGATCACTGGTAGATAAAAACTTTGAAATCCTTTTTTTTGGTAAAGTCATACTATAGCTCCTGTTAGGGGCCAGCTTGAATGCACCTCGACTAATTCCACGGGGTGCTTGCTACCTCCAACAAGCACAAGTATCGGGTAACTCTGTCCACCAAAGGCTTGGTCATATGGAAAGAAACCACCTAACTTTTTTTGCCACCATGAGATTTGAACCTGATACCTCATGGTTCTCAACCAACTTCATTGACCACTAGGACACACCCTTGGATGCTTTCTTTGTGAATACTTAATATCTTATTCATAAGTTATCTCGTATAATAGCAAAGTGTGTGTGTGTCTAATATATATATATATGTGTGTGTGTGTGTGTGTGTCAAACCCAAAAGCAAACCAAACACCCAATCAACCTATACTTCTCGGACATAGTTGTAGTGAAAGCACCCAATTTAGGTGGACCAAATCTAGTGCAAATCCCACACCCACAACCAAATCTTGTCGGACGGACACGGGTGCACCAGGGATTTGAAGGATCCGAGCAACATAGGACTATGGAGTACTGAAATATTATGGATGCAAATAGTTCATTTATGACTAGCGATTGAGGTGAAGTTGTTGGTCAGCTATCCTATATATAAAGGTCTACGCTCATGCATACATCCTGAAGAAATCACATATAGCGAATCTAAAAAAACTTGCAAGTGAGACATACATGATCAAGACAGCAAAATCTTACTATCACAACAAACTCTTTGGCAGACATTTTTTGATACGGTAATAAATTTTATAAATGAAGGGTAAAAATTTTTTAGTAAACTCTTTGGCAGACATTAAATCCTCACAAGGTAGGGGTAAGGTCTGTGTACACACTACCCTCCCCAGGCCCCACGGTGTGGGATAATACTGGGTATGTTGTTGTTGTTGTGTTGTTGTCTTTGGCAGACATTACAGCCATATAATACTAAAAGGTCTTCCTTCAACTGAAAGGAATGAACTATTGGAAACGCAAGAGGAAAAAGATCAAATTCTACAATCACCTAGCAAAGAGGAAGATCTCAAGTTCCCTTCCACATCAATTATTCATTCCCTTACTAAGTTGGAAGACTGGTGGAATCATTGGTAACTGATGTTTTTAACTTACTGCAAAGACAGAATATTATTTTAAAGTAAAATCACCAGAAGAGGCTAGAGATGGATGCACTGACTCATCATATTCAAGGGGAGGTGCCATGGTGCATGCTATTCGCTGATGACATTATTCTAATTGACGAGACACGAGGCGGCGTCAATGAGAGGCTAGAGATTTGGAGACATGCTCTTGAGTCTAAAGGTTTCAAGTTGAGCAGGACGAAGACGGAATACCTCGAGTGCAAATTTGGAGTTGAGCCGACGGAAGCGGGAGTTGAAGTGAGACTTGACTCTCAAGTCATTCCCAAGAGGGGTAGTTTCAAGTACCTTGGATCGGTTATTCAGGGGATCGGG